CTCGGCGTGTGGCAGATATTGGATGGATGGTGTCTGTTGATGGTGCTCTACATGGTGTTGTCTGATATTCTTGCTGAAAGGTGTATGCCACAGACAACGCAAGTCCGCTGAAAAGGATGCTTTACTTTCACTGGGGCTTCTCTGGCTGACTCTGGCTTGCTACTGTACAAGTTGGTTTGTTTCTGGTGGCTGTGCATGCTACTGGCAAACATCGACCCAGCTCCCGAACTTGAACACAATAGCACCAAATGGCATGCACACGATGTTGGCACAAGATCTGTTGTGCTGCACAAAATCATTGAAGTACCCAGTGCCACATTTTCTCTTTGACCGAGCATGCCACTGCGTTTGGATGTCACAAGTATCAAACCAAGTAATAAACAAACATGTTTTTGACAACCAGTGTACCCCTGCGTTGTGCGCCCTGCAATGGACAAACAAACCATAAGAAGGTTTATGACTACAAATGGAAGGTTCATGTTGGTGAAATTCAGCCTGCCTATGCGTTTTGCGGCCTTACAATAAGCAATGGTCCAATGGAATAAGAATATCATATATCTTTTTTAATTTTTTACACACTTCCCCACGGCACACCGACCTGAGACAACTGCAGGGGAGACAAGACAAGAAACAACATCAACCCAGTATGTGCATGTTATCTTCTTTCCTTTTCGTTTTGTATTTGGGAAAGAGGGGGCAAAACTCAAGCGACAGGGTGACGAAGGCACGGAAAGACAGCAGACATACGAGCAAACAAAGCAGAAATGCCACAGAAGATGGCAGCAACCTGCCACACACGCCCGCAAGCTAGCCTTCACAAGTGCAAGGCAGCAGGCATCAATGAGGGAAAACAGGAACATAAAAATCAGGTCAAAAATACTAATGAATATTGTAGCAAGAACTGCTGGATGGAGATCGTCATTGAGCAGCAGCGCTCATTAGAGGAAGCGAAACAAAAGAAGGCGAGGGCCGGGTGCAGAGACCTTTCTTCAACAACCACAGCATCAAAGCCAAAGCAAGCTGACATTATCCAATGTGCTCTTTCAACTTCTGCTTGGGGGAGAACGCCTTATAAATTGCTCCTCCTCAGATGTGAAGTCATCTTGCAGCGTGTGAATTGCCATTTATAAGGGCGCTTTGTGCGCCTTCAGTCTTGCCCTGTGGCAGCTGTAGAATGGTGATGGATGGTGGTCATCTACATGCTGCCGTTTCCTTATTTCCAGAGATCTTTGTTGAAGGGCCTTTGGCACGGAGCATGCTTGTGAGTTACTCCGCCATGGGTTGCCGTGCACATTGTGCTTCCTTGCGTTGTGTGCTTTAAAGTGCTGGGAAGCTAAAGCCAAGCAGAGGCGCGAAGAAGGCGCGGAAGCGCTGCATGAAAAGCAGCGCATGAGGATAGAAGCCCTCCTGAGATAAAAACAAACGCGCCACAAATGTGCACAATTTTGTCTCCACAGTTGTCTGATTTCTTTTCTTCCTTGTTTCCTTGTGGAGCTCATTCTGCACGCAATGGCCACGGGCAGCCCTCTGAAATGCGAGTCCAGGGTGTGCTGCGTTTAGCGGCGTGCGGATCTTCATTTTATGGCAGTGTTTTGTGCGCCTTCAGTCTCGGCCTGTGGCAGATGTTGGATGCTGATGGATGGTGTCTGTTGATGGTGCTCTACATGGTGTTGTCTGATACTCTTGCTGACAGGTCTATGGCACGGAGACAGCAAGTCTGCTGGAAAGGATGCTTTACTTTTAAACTTTTACTGGGACTTCTCTGGCTTGCTACAAGTTGGTTTGTTTCTGGTGGCTGTGCATGTTATCTTTCCATTCGTTGTTCGTATTTGGGAAAGAGCGGGGAATCTCAAGCAAGAAGATGACAAAGGCGCGGAAAGACTTCATCCATAAAAGCAGAAAGGGAAAGAATGCCACTGAAGATGAAAGCAACCTGCAAACACATGCTTGCAAGCAGATGAAAACAACCTGCCACACATGCTTGCAAGCAAGTCTTCACAAACACAAGACAGCAGGCAACAATGAGCGACAACAGGAAAACGAAGAATCAGGTCAAAAATAACCGATGAATATTGTAGCAAGAACCGCTGGGTGGAGATCGACACTGAGCAAGGGCGCGCATCAGAGGAAGCCAACCAAAACAAAACAGATGCAGAGACCTTTCTTCAACAAACTCAGGATCAAAGCCGAAGAAAACTGATATTATCCTATGTCTTCTTTCAAATTCTGCTGGGGCCCGTCGGGGACGCATTGGCCAGGGCAATGCCTTATGAAATGCTCGTCCCAAGATGCGAAGGTATTTGCAGCGTGTGAATTGCCATTTTATAAGGGCGCTTTGTGCGCCTTCAGCCTCCTCCTGCGGCAGCTGTAGGATGGTGATGGATGGTGGTCATCTACATGCTGTCATTTCCTCATTTCCAGAGATCTTTGTTGAAGGGCCTTTGGCACGGAGCATGCTTGTGAGTCACTCCGCCATGGGTCGCTACAAGCTGGTTTGTTTTTGTTTGCTGTGCACATTGTGCTTCCTTTCGTTGTGTCCTTGCAAAGAGGTAGGAGACTAAAAGCAGAGGCATGAAGAAGGCGCGGAAACGCTGCATGCATGGCAGCGCATGAGGAAAGAAGTCCTCCTGGGATGAAAGCAACCGCGCCACAAATGTGCGCAATCTTGTCGTTAAAAAAAGAACGCAAGGAAAGGTTGGGCAACAACAGAAAAATCACACATAGGTCAAGAACTGACGGAAAATGAAAATGAGAAGCAAGCAACAGAAATTGCATTGACAGCATCAGAAAGTGGAAAAGCAAGCCAAAACATGCCAAAACCAACAGAATGCCAAAGACTCCGGTGAACCAGCACAGCATGAACCGCACAGCATTACAAGTCAAAGGACAGATGCTGTATTTTTAAATATATATATATATATACATATAGATAGATAGATATTCTTCCCTGTGACCTTGTGGAGCTCATTCAGCACGCAGTGGCCAAGGGCAGCCCTCTGAAATGCGAGTCCCAGGGTGTGCTGCGTGTGGCGGCGTGCGGATCTTCATTTTATGGCAGTGTTTTGTGCGCCTTCGGTCTCGGCATGCTGGATGCTGATGGATGGTTTTGAGTATGGTGCTCTACATGGTGTTGTCTGATACTCTTGCCGACAGGTGTATGGCACGGAGACAGCAAGTCCGCTGGAAAGGATGCTTTACTTTTACATATCTCTGGCTTGCTACAAGTTGGTTTGTTTCTGGTGGCTGTGCATGTTATCTTTCCTTTCGTTTTTTGTCTCTGGGAGGGAGCAGGAATCTCAAGCAAGAAGGCGCCGAAGGTGCGGAAAGACTTCATCCATACAGGCAGACAAACAAAGAATGCCACTGAAGATGAAAGCAACCGGCCACACATGCTGCAAGCTAGTCTTCACAAACACAGAACAGCAGGGAAAACAAAGAATCTGGTCAAAAAATACTGATGAATATTGTAGCAAGAACCGCTGGTGATCGTCATTGCATGAGAGGAAGCCAAACAAAATAGGCCCGATACTGAATACAGAAACCTTTCTTCAACAAACGCAGCTTCAAAGCCAAAGAAAGCTGATATTATCCTATGTGCTCATTCAATTTTTTGCTGGGGGTCCGTCGGGGACGCATCGGCCAGGGCAATGCCTTATGAAATGCTCGTCCCAAGATGTGAATGTGTCTTGCAGCGTGTGAATTGCCATTTTATAAGGGCGCTTTGTGCGCCTTCAATCTCACCCTGTGGCAGCTGCAGGATGGTGATGGATGGTGGTCATCAAAGTTTTTTTTGAAGGGCCTTTGGCACGGAGCATGCTTGTGAGTCACCCCGCCATGGGTCGCCACAAGCTGGTTTGTTTCTGTCTTCCGTGCACGTTGTGCTGTCTTTCGTTTTGCACTTTAAAGAGCTGCGAAACTAAAGCAGAGGCGTGAAGAAAGTAAGGTGCCGTGGTTCCGCCTGGTCTCTCCTCACGGCGTTGCTTGCCAACCCGAAAGCACGCTTAATTAAATAAATCCAAAAAGCTCCAAACCTATCCTGAATAAGCTCTAAACCAGCCCTGAGTAGATCATGAACAAACCCTGAACCAACCCCGCATAAACCCCAAGCAGACCCTAAATAAACATTAACTAACCCTAACCCGCTCCCCCCCCCGCTTTGTGTCATGCTGGAATCCACAACAACAGATTTGATGGCCGCAAACTCAAACTTTATAGTTTCTTATAAAATGACAGTCCGCCGCTCCATTACAAGCATTCCGAACCATCATTTTATAAGGCAATGTTCTCCAAATGTTATTAAATGACAACTAGAGTCTATACATGACAAGTTTAAAAGGAATCATGATTTTATAACCCCAAAAAAATATACAAATATATTTTTTTATGCTGACCCCGCCCCCCATGTTTTCTCCTGAGGAGATACCGGGGTTTGCCATTTTATAGCCCCCAGAAAAAGGGGCGGTTTATAAAATGACAGTTCCCAGTAGGGATCTTCCCAGACCCGTTATTGCAAAACACACCATTTTATAAGCAATTTCACGTTTGATTTTAACCCTGGGGGCGGCACTCAATAAGAAATGAGAGGCGCCACCCGGGTGGCGCCATTTAATAAGGAATATTAAAAGGGGGATTTTACATGTATAATACATAATATATATATATACGTATATATGCGGAGGAGTTTCTTACTACTGGTCAGCCTTTGCTCGTACAGTTACAGCATTAATCCGATAGCATTGGTCTTGACGTTGCGGGTTGGACAGGATTTTCTCATTGGTCGAATTTGATGATTTAGGCCGCAGCACGAAGCTACTTTGCGCCTTGAGGAGAAAAATGTGCTGCCCCATTGCTGTAACCTTGTAGATGTTGTTTCTATCATATTTGGAAAGGCGTCAACTTTGGGCACCCTTCCAACTTCCTTCACACCCCATGTAGCGTTCATTGCATGGCTCCCATGTGGCTTCCCCAACTCCAAAGCCACTTCCACCAGGCCAAGGCGCAGCCGAACACTCAGACATGACTTCCAACCAGATCTGCAGGAACCTCCGAAACGGTTCATCCACGTCCGAGCGCCTTGGACGCCATGGACCAGGCCATGGGAGGTCTGGGGGAACACCATCCCAGCACCGATCCTGGATTTGATCGGCAATACCAACTGTTTGGGGTAGCTAGTTGAAACATGTTGAAAGGCAAACTATCCTCATATTGCATGGTAAATTACGTTCATTCAAGATTCAAATGATCATTCTTTCCTTCTAGCATTCCTATCTATCCAACCATCTACATGTATGCACATCTACTACATGTATGCACATCTAAAAATATCAATATATATATATATGTATATATATATACATACATATATAATCATATGTGTATATATATATATACAACTAAGGCAGCGCCTCAGTTGTAAGCTGGTTTATAATGTTTATAACCGCTGTTAACTGTTTATACCTACCATAAAGCATAGAATTCACCTAGTGAACAAGACCAACCTAGCTACACATAATATCATATAATTATGCATGATTACCGCAATTACCCCAGAAAATTCGATGACTCATGTTGCCCCTGGCTTGATTGTGGATGATCGCTTTACATTCGCGGGAGAAATGCATCATATGACTTTCAGGGTGCTGCATTACTATATGCACCTCACTTTTTGCAGGATAAACATGAAAACCTCGTGCTTTCCAGGGTGCACTGCGAAAACATTGTGTTTCCAGGAAAACCATCGTGTTTTCCCAGGATGGCTCTATAAACGTTGTTTTCACATGATTTGGCATCACTTGAGCAAACAACGTAAAATCAACCAATCAAAGCATAGTCATATCATAGTCGCATGATATGATCATCGTTTGGCGGTTCTATTGTGTCTAAGTCTTTAGGACTTTAGGAAAAACATGGAAAAACTGCTTGAAGCGTGGTAATGGTTGTACGCCCCAAAATATCGATCTCATTGAAGGGTTGGTATGGGACTAAGATTGAAATTTTAGGCAACCTACTGAGAAAAGTTCGGGCTTATTTTGAACCCGTGCTAAACCTGTACTTTAGTGGTGCTAACCCGAACTTTTGGGATAAATATAATGTTTTTCCAAAACACCATGTTTGTCAAACGATGTCAAACGCGTGCTGAACCCGTGCCAAACCCGTACTGTACCCGTGCAAACCCTTTACTTATTTGTTCGGGTTCAGAGGGGTCCCACCTTTGCCATTGTTGCTGCAATATTGAAACATATTGAAACATATTGATATGAAATAGACATCGGCATCGGAATTATTGGTGGGTGATGTTGGCTATCCATGCTATCCAGTGGTTAAGAGGGAGCTGAGGAGCACCAAGAGTTTCCCAACCACGTGTTTGTTGGCGGTTGCGGCCAAGAATGCTGGAATATGCTGGAATAGGATGATTCTATTCATTTCTCTCTTCACCATCAAAACTGCAAACTTGAAAACATCGGGTTTTGTGGAAAAACCTTGTGTTTTTTCATATCCTACGTTTTTGTAGGGTTTTGAGTTTCAAGGTACATATATATATATATATACATCATTGTATATCTCTCACAGTACAGTACCCACATATCCTCAACATTGAAACATAGTGTAAATATCATCCAATAAATCTATGGGTATATTTAATGACGGTGCATATATATATAATATATATAATATATAATATATATATATATAATATATATATAATATATATATAATATATATATCCTTATCCAATATATCTCCAACATACCCACAATTGATCCGTTCCCAGCGGCGGATTGGCGCCAGACAGCTTCGGCGCGATGTTCTTCAGGAAGCGCTGGAAGTCGCGGCGTTCCTCTGCCGGCAAGTGGACAAGGTGGATATAGGGGGGACTAGGTATATAACTGGTATGGAATCTGGATACATGAAACATAAACCATATGTATATATATATAATAGATTGTCATAAAATCATACGTATAAATATGTATATTATATATATATTATGGTTAAAAAACTATGTCGCTGGGCTACGTATAAAATCGATTAAAATCGTATGAATGTCTGCTTGGGGGATTTTTGGGGATATTTTATGGACATCCGTCGGATCCGTCGAGGAAGAATAGCTCAGCACACACAAAGCTCGCCACGTTTAATGCCTATCAAGAATACAACTTATATAAGATCTAAACCGATGAACCCATCCTTTGAGCACATCCCATCCCCACCAAAAGCAAAAACATGCAACCAGAAACCCCTGTCAACGACTTGACTGCCAATTTAGGTGCTTGTCAAGTCTACAAGAGCCTAGTCCTAGTCAATAATATCGATTGATATGTTTGTCTAGCTGTCATGCGCAATCAACCACAGCAAATTGCAGATTTAACCTTCATCAACCGCAAACAGCACAAGACAAATTCACAAAGTTTGAGACTCTGACTTTACAGACTGATCAGTTGCCAGAATAATGGCTTGATTGGAATAGAAAGCTCATGTCCAAGCCCATCTCCAAGCCTACCTGGCACCAACTCAATGATCTTCAATCCCTCTTGCAACAAGCAGCGGAGTCCAAATTGCGCTCAGCCAGACCCGCTTCAGTGTTGGTGGATCTTGCCAGCAATTCCTTCGCGCGAACTGTCTGAGCGTGACTTCAATGTCGCGGGCAAATGTTCAAGAAATGACTGTCTCTTCACCACGCTTCCGTCTTGGTCTGGGAGAACGGGGACATATTTTTAAATTTGATAATTACACACACACAGAGATAGATAATATATATATTTATATTGTAAAAGAGACACAAACAACAAAAAATAAATGGATTTACTACAGTGTGCAGCCTAACTCATTTGCAAATTGATTGGCTTTGGCCGGCTTTGGCCGGTGGCCAGTCCTCCAACTCGCTCGCTGAGGATTCAAATTGCCTTGGCACAGCAGCGGACCACGACCCAGGCTCCAGGGGTTGGCCAGCGCATGCCGAGGGGCAGGGCGAGCTCGGCTTTCAGTCCTTCCACTTGTGCTGCACGTGTCTGGAAGTCGTGGCCTGAGGATGGCTTTTTGGTCCAGAGGGCCAGCTGAAACAAACAGAGTACACATGCATGACATGATGATTCATGGTAAATATGATAATTATAACTGTAAGTAACATTAATAAGATTAAATCATATTAATATCACAGTAATTGCAACGGCCACCATGGTGAGATCGCATCAACAACCACATCACGTAGCATCATCTGGGGGAAGTCACAGATCGAGTGTAACTTGCCAGAAACGCATCAGTTCGGCCATACCAAACCAAAGCTGGTGGACCCAAGACACGACGGGAAAAAAAACTTGGATATACTTGGATTATGTAGGTGGTCACAGAATGGCACAGAATGGCATAGACTTGAGCCGCTCGTTCCCAGTGTACCCAGCTATCGATGGAACATGCTCTCCTTATCACTTTCTAGCAAACATACATACTTACATCTAGATCTCTGAGGTATTCTATTCATGTCTATTCGATATTAAGGGAACTCGTACAGATACCATCAGGCACGCCGTGGTGCTATCCTCCATCCCAGGCACGCCTGGCCCCTAGGTTTGCAGCCCAGCTGCGGTACTGAACCATCTCTTTAAAGAGCTGCCAGAAACCTCCAAGTGAGTGCAAATTAATTTGGTGTATGCCAAGGTCTAGCAAAACATCCCAAATCATATGGAAGAATAATATATAGAGGCCCTTTACCAAGGAACTTGTTGCGGATTTCCTCGGAAAATGAAGGCTATTGGGCAACCAGATGGATCTGCTCTCAACACTGCGAACTCAGCTGCCAGGAATCCCCACAAAAGATGGCGAAGAGACCCGAACCAGTCATCACCATCAGATAGGGAATATCCCGATCACCTCAAGCACCAGTGCAATGCAGCAAAAATTCTGGATGTCTGAATCAGCCCAATCAACAAATGGCATGTAGGTTGAAGGGGAAGGATATCCACCGGTGTTTCCACGCAGACCTTGGTATACCAATAGTATACCAAGAAATGAAACCCGTCTTTTCAGTTGGTTCGATTAGCAGCTGTGACCCCACAGTTTCCTCCATGGGACGCCAGTGGTAGGAATCCTCGACTATCCGTACCAGCAGGCCGACCTGATGGTCAAAAGAGATGGTGAATCTGCTGGTGAGACGTGGTTTCTGGATGTTTCTGGGCCAACTAATTCACTTGAAAACATGAAATGTATTGAAATGTAATCTTTGAACATCCAAGTTGAAACTTAACTGTAGTTAAAATATGTTAAAATTAAACGTAAAGAGCGTTCAATGCTGTTCATGCTGTTCTTAGCCTCCTGGCCGTGTCAATAAAACCAAGAAGGCACACAACAAATCCGAAACAAAAAAAATGGCGGCTTACATCCATCCTTTGATGTGTGGTATTGCCACAGTACTGAACTTGGGTCATATACTTCACGTATGTGACAATGTGACACTCTTGACGCTGAAATCCTGGCTTTTTGGCAGCATATCTCAGCTCTGCCATCTGTGCCGAGCAGCATTGGTCAAAGTGCCAACCAATAGGACCAAATGAGGCAGACCTGAAAAGATCTTTGCCGGGGCAGTGCGAAGTATTGGGCATTGGGCCCGTAAAAGAAGGGCTCATAGATATCGATATCAAGAGAGCATCACAGATATATAATTAAAATATATTATAATTATAGTATACATATTATATAGATTCCCTCTCTCTCTCGCTCTAGGTTATTGTACTAGCTACTTGTCATTCAGAAACAGGCTGAAACCAACAGAACTCGTGAAGTCAATAAAGGCAAAGGGCCGAGGGAAGGGACAGGCCGCTCCTCCCCAACCAGCTGTTGATCGAGAATATCACGGTGTTGGTGCTGTATTAAACCGATTGGCCAAACTATATTTACTGGACTTTGAGCAGATAAGCAGCCGTTTAATGTCAATATCAATATCTCTCCAAACTGCTGGACCACCAATTCATATCCTGAATGCGTACGCACCACAGAGCGGTGTGGCCAGTCATATCAAAGAAGCCTTTTACGACCAAGTGGAATCATGTTTAACCACATTGCCACGCGCACACCCCAAATATGTTTTTGGTGACTTTAACGCACGTATTCATGCCAAGTTGGATCATGAACATATGTTTGGCCCTCATATCTTTGGCAGAGGTCGGAAGTACTTGCATTTCACCAGTGATGAAGTTGCTGAAAACCGGTACATGTTCTTGATTTTTTGTGCTAGCTGTGATCTCAAAGTCATGAACACATTCTTCCAGAAGGTTCCGGAGAACCAGTTCACGTTCAGAGAACCGGCTACCAACCACGAGCCCCCTTGGACCCCAGAGCGTTTTGCTCAGCTAGATTATGTTTTAGCCCCTGAAAGTCTGAAAGATGGAAAAAATCAATAAAGGATGTGACTGCTATAGCCCGTATCTTTTCGGATTCTGACCATTACATTGTGGATGCGGATTGTTGTGTTTACTCCAAGCCAAGCCTAAGCACGTTCATAAACCCAAATACCGTCAGCCCACGCGGGAACAAATTGCGGCTTTTAACATCTTTTAACGCTGTGATTGCTCAATACATGCAGGAAACCACTCGTCGTGACATTGGCGTTTTCCTTCAGGTCATTCAAGATACAGAAAAGCAGTGTTTTACTGAGGTGCCACTTAAGCAATGCAGACCTTACATTTCTGGACCCACTTTTGGAATAAGATTTTGAGGAGAAATCAGGCGCATGAACAAAGCGATTGGGCCACTGTTGCGCAGCTAAACGTAGAAATCAAAAGGGACGCTCGTAAAGACAAAAAGAAAGCTTTAATCATGCCAAAATGAAAAAGAAAAATGGGAAAGCCCAAAGCTCCTCAAACCAAAAAATGATTCTGTTTTCCAAGTTGAAAGACCGTCATGGCAACAGAGTAGGACCTTGCCAGCGTGCAAAAGCAATTGCCGATTCTTTACACCACGAACATCGGCGCCCTGGGCCAGTCCCTCCAACCAAAAATCGATGTAAGCTTATTAGCAGTGATCTGGGCATGAATACAGACATTCTCAGCAACGAAGAAGTCATCGCTGCCATCAAAAAAAATGAAAAAAGGGAAGGCACCAGGACATGACAAGATTAACATCGACACAATTATATAAAGCACTGGACGCGGAAATTGCATTTTTTTAACACTTGCCTTCAATGAGTGGTGGACGTCGGAAAGCATCCCCGCAGACTATCTCAAAGCATTGGTTGTATCGCTATTCAAATAGGGAAATACCCAGGATATCGCAAATTACAGACCCATCTCCTTGTTGACTTGTACTTATGGGATGTTCACTTCGATACTACGGACCCGGATTGCTTCTGTAATTGATCCCCATCTTGCCAGAACCCAATATGGTTTTAGAAGTTCTCGTTCAACCCAGCGGCCCGTGTTTATTGCCAGAAGAATCCAGGACATCGCTGAGGCAAGTGGTGGCGAGGGATTGTTAACATTTTTGGACTGGAAGCAAGCGTTTGATAAAATAAATCACCATCGTATGTTCGAAGCTTTGGAACGAATGAACATTCCACCTAAAATGCTTCGGATTATAAATAAGCTTTGTATAGAAACCCTTCCTTTCAACTTCAGCATGATGAGTTCACTTCGCAAGAATACTTTCAGCAATGTGGTATAAGGCAGGGCTGTCCGCTTAGCCCTTATCTGTTTATTATCGTCATGAGTGTGCTCTTTGCTGACATCCATCAAGACCATCACCGAGCCCTCAACCATGGAAAACTAGACCACCTTTCATTTATGGAGGTTCTCCATGCTGATGACACTCTGTTAGTCACTCAAAATACCCGCACGATGAATAGACTCTTGCACGCAGTAGAATCAGAATCCCAGTACCATGGTCTCAAGCTCAACCAATCCAAATGCGCTGCCATCGCAAGTACCGGACGACATAGAATCAAATTTCGGGACGGGACCCCTGTACCCCATGAAGATCAAGTTACTTGTCTGGGAGGCATCATTACCCGACAAGTCAACATACGTGCTGAAATCGAGAACAGAATTGCTGCCACCATGGCTACATGGAGATGGATGCACGTTTCCTTCAAAAATTCCAGCTGTCCTATTCGCTGGACGCTGATAGTCTACAATAGCATGGTTCGATCCAAATTGATTGTTGTATGGTCTGGACACCCTCGAGATACCCCAGGCACTCCTATCAAAACTTGAAGCCTTCCAGTTGAGAGGTTTACGAAAAATATTAATGTGAACACCACCTACATTGATCGGAGAAACACCAATGCGGAAGTATACCGTAGAGCAAATTTGGCCATAGAAACCAGGCAAGGCAATGACACCACGTTGACTTGGACAATTCGGCAGTGTATTGAGGAGAAAAGAATCAAACTTACAGGCCATCTGTTGAGAGCCGACGATTCGTATCCCATGCGACAAGTTAGCTTTCAGAATAACAGCGCTTCCCCCTACTTGCCTTTGTTTCGCAGGCCTGGTAGACCACCCAAAAATTGGATGATTTCATCTCTAGAGCTTTGTTGGAATAATACCACAATTCCCCTTATACGAACTCCTCTATCCAGCAACGGCAGCTCTTGGCTGAAGCAAGGCAAAGACTCTTCTAATCGTGTTTTTTGCCATCTTGTGATGGCCTTCGCTATTATTCGCTATTCCTTTCGGCAGCCTGCAGTGGCCTTCGCTAATATTCGCAATTCAGTATCTGATGTTGGAGCTTAATTCGGTCCTTTACTACATGTAGGTTTCTTCAATCTGTAAAAAGATGGTTTATTTTCAACCAAAGGTTGAAACTATGCCACATGCCGGCCTGATAGACAATTTAATTTTCTTTTCGCACACCTGGAGGTGCCTAACAGGCACTTGTCATGGAAGATTTGCTTTATTTTTGTTTAATCTTCTGTTCCAGAACCTGCAGATTTCTTCCTCGTACCTTGGCAGAAGAAAAAAGTTGTCATTCAAGACTCTGACCATATATTTGCCATACATAGATTCATCTTTTCATTCATACATATAGATTCTTACTTTCACCGATGGTCAGCCCTTGGGCGATTGCGATATCGTCGTATCTTCACGAAGGCTGCGATCTGTCAAAGGGTCCCAAAGTATCCAGAAAAAGTGATTCCTCAGCATCTTGATGACCATCAACCCCCCAAACGAATCCAAACGATAGAAACGTGAAATCCTACTCCCAGTACTAAATTACTATATAAATACTGAGGAACTATGATGAACTGGTGTTCTATATTGTTTGTAGTTTCTATATGTTTCTATCAGATCCTATCTACTCAGTCCCCGACTTTGGATAATTCGCCACTGGGATGGAATAGACCTGAGCGCTTCTGGGAGACCCGCAGGGGCGCAATGGCAGGGATGGTTTCATGATTACCAAATATTAGTTAATTGGATTCAATTGGTGATAACATGATATAACATTTGATAACCATCCCAAATGTGGACACAAATATGGAGACTTGCAGTTGAAAGATTGTTCAATATTGTTCATGTCACACTACTGTAGCTCCAAAGACATGGCAAAGAAATGGCACCGGCAAACTCAGTAGGTTTCCGGCTGAAATAGATCAAAGGTGACCAAAGTCAGTGATTTCTGTGATTCGTGGGCCCCCAGCTTTCTTTCGGCCCCCAGTGCATCCTTCACATGCCAACCGAGGTTCAAGCCCTTGTAAACCCTCCCGGGCACAGCCAAGGCGCTGGTATGCAGATGGAAAGAAGTGGCCAAAGACCCAGAATGGCTGCAAGGGGAAGATCCATCCTGGCAAGGCGTCAGAGGCATCCACAAACTGACAGTGGCAATGCGACATCCAAAGAGTCAACTGTCAATGGATCACTGGGGTGACATCATGGCGACTCCATGAGCATGTCAAGGATCAAGATTCAGCACGGGGTACATACTGTCCGAACCCTCGTTTAATTTTGGTTATTTTAGGGTTACAGTAAGGGTTGCGTTCTTTCTTGGGGGTACAACTGAACAATTGATTGAGATATCCTGCCTCAAGCCAAGGCCAGCTCTTTATCACCAACGGAATCAAAGCCAGAAAAAAACGACTATTTATCGGTAAAACCTTCTTCCCAACACCAAAAGTTCCTAGATCAATCAGCTATAATAAACTAAACCATAGGTCAACCACAAATGAGCCATAGACATGAGCCTATATAAATAAATCAACCACCCAAAATACGGGACAAACTCAAAACCACCGTGAAGCAGCAATAAAGCATCCTACACATCATAAACCATAATTAATTACACATATCATCATATATCAACACCAAAAGGCACTCGCAAACCATAAACTAAATCGATCAGAAAATAATCGCCCGAAAAACCTCCGAAAACCATAAATCAACCAAAATAACTCAAACTCACCCTTCATTAATCCCCATTTTCCTCCCCTCACAGCGCCTGGGGGCGGCTCTACGCTCCGCTTCTCCGCGCTCGTCTTGTCTGTTGGGGTCGTGCTGGCCGTGGCACCTGGAGGGTAGCCACCGGGTAGCCTGGGGTAAGGATGAAATAGTTGGTTCATAGATGGGATGAACACCATGATTAACAGGATAATAGGAATAGTTATACAATAAATAATAAATAAATCTAATGATTAATACTAATAGTTGATACTACTAGTTGATACTAATAATCAGTTAATACTCTCAGTTAATACATGTTAATACTAATAGTAATTATAGCTGATAGTTGGCCAAGAAACTGAGGATCCTTTGGAAAAACAACAATGGCAGTTCCGTCAGTACCAAGGGGCTGTAACTGGGCCCCGCGGGCTCAATGCGCTCCTCCATGACCTCAGATGAGAATGACCAGCGGGTTTGCTGCTCACGCCGTTTCACAATTCCTACAGATTCCTACTAGTCTCTGGGTGTAGTCATATTAGTCATGCTCTCAACTACCCTCAACTGCTTTAACTCCTTATTCCATGATATCATGATATGACTCGGTGCATTCCTCTGCCATCCACCCCCTGGAAGTCCAAGTGGCAAGGTTGAATGGAATCCTGACTTAAACGTAGTTAGATCGTGAGCCAAAGGGCTGCAACAACGGAAAAAAAAAATAATCAGGGATGAGGTTAAGCCTAAAGAAACACCAAAGAGCAATGGGGAAACACGGTTTGCAGGCCCCCGCAAGTTCTCTTTGCTCTAGAGAGCCCTGGGCGTGCCAAATGAATGTGCTGTCGAAATTCTACAGCATCAAGAAACTCCCAATAGATATCACGTCCAAATCAAAAGGTGTAACACGATGCCAGCATCCTACTCTATAATTAATCCTATATATCCATATTCATATTTATCTTCCAGTGCAGAGATGTGTAGAGAGGCAGAAACGCTCAGCCTAGTTTGAGGGCGAAATGCTGTGGATGTTTCCTGCATTGAGATCATATATAATATTTATATATATATATATTCCATATGCACAAGCATCACAAGCTGTACAACTTTCCGAATTTCAGTATTCGTAAATTTTCGATAATTTTCGTACCTTCAAGGAGCTGACATACCTTGCAGTCTTCGGATCCTTCGGATCCTTCGGTCATTCCACAGCATCCCCACAGGGGCCACTGACGCGAACGATGCATGAAGCACTTGGGTAGCCATCCAGATTCCTGAGGTTGATGGGATGGTCTCTGAATGTCTCTGAAGTTAGCTGATAATGGATGATAATGGCATATTGAATCCGTCAGGGTTGTCACCCACTTTCTTAACACTTAGTGGGACTTAGCGACTGACTTGCTATATAAATTCAGGAGCCGTCCTTCTTGCGGATTCACGAAGTCAATTCCCTCATGAACGAACAATTTAAAGCTGGCACTGGAATGAAGGCTGGCAAGGACACGCAACATCTACAGTAGGTGCTCACTAAAACTCAAAATTCCAGGCCCAACAATCAACCAAAATAGATCGACAATATCGAAATGGTCCAACTGTGGTATTTTGATGCATTTGAAATCATTTGAACGTTGAAAAGAATCCATAATGATTCCATGATAATTTTGGGGGATTCCAAATTTCCGGACCCCATCTTGGTCGGCGGCCTATGTCCTGACCATCATACCACGGCCACCAGGACGAGCGTCCGCCATACCCTCTAGCTGAAAAGCATTGGCAGCCTGACCGTCAGTTTCTGGGCGCTTACGCCGGTCCCTGCAGAATTGCTTTGCCCATAGCTAGAATCAAAGGAATCAAGAAAAAATGGTTTGAAGTCGGAATCAGCCAATAGAAAAATTGTCTCCCAAATGTTTCCTTTGGATCTTCGTTGGTAGGTTCCACTGTATCCCCTCAGGTTCAGCGCAAAGCGCGGGGAAACTTCCCCCATCTCGCCATCCGATGGCCTGCTCACACCTCGAATGGCTCACTCCATTGAAGTCTGGAGTCCCTGGAGTCCTCTTAGTCCTCTACTTATTGGAGGGAAGACCAATGTTAGAGTCCAGATTCCTATTGAAGTGGCTTCGCTACTTCGCTACGTCACCAAATTAAACGCCGTGGGTTCATGCCATATCTCCCCCAATTAATAGGGGCTGCAACGAAACAACAACAGAGGGGTCAATCTCAAAGCAACTGGCTGGCCATCCAACCAACCAAGTCACAAACCCCCACAGACACTGCCCAACCAAATCTGGAAAGTGGATGGAATCTTTCGTTTGATTTTGAATCTGTGGTGAAATCTTATGAAAACATGCCTGGTCTACTCTAGTCTCTCTTTTACCCTCCTCAACCAGTACTGTTGAACCAGTTGCGACACGTTCGCGGAAATAGGATGTGCTCAAACATTCTCCTAACCGCTTGGAGATCAAATGTAAAATCATCAAATAGGATTCACACAGTGATTCGCACCTGGAACCTCCAGGTATTAAGGCCCAGCTTTAAACCTCTCTACCAAGCCCGCAGGGTTGCAGGTTAGGCGGGCGAGGCACGTGAATTGACCAATGTTGCTGGCAGCAGCGGCCACCACCTCAGCATCATAGTCCAATCATTCAGTTGAAATCAAAAATCGAAACAAGATCATCCATCAATCAGAGACCTTGAATGCCTCCAGCATTTTTCATCCACCTAGCAAGGCTTCTGGACGCATTTTTTGCTGGTGGGTTGGCCAGCTGAGTGTTCGATTTTGGACAATTTTAACAATGTGTTAACATGATTTAACATGTGGTAACCCGCGAAGTGGATGGTTTCTTCATCCTCCGCCCTCAGAGGCTTCAACCAAGGCGCTACCCAGATTTTGACCCATCGACCACCAGCCTCCAGACCCACCACGGATAAGGTGCCGCTGCGCCAGTTTCTGACGCTAGGCCACAGGTTGGGGCAAGGATGGCTAGAGATCTGGTTTAATTATAAGTGATGCAGGCAGGGAGGTGATGGAACATGTGGTTTATTGAAGTTTATTGCCCTTACGTTTCGGATGCATATGACTTTCCTACTATGAATCCGGGGGCTTGATCGTGGTTTGAATGCCATGTCAGTATCCCAGGTGTGACGCACAGCAACATCATGGATCATCATGGTATCTCCCCGCTTGGAGCAGTAGAAACTCTCTAGCCACATCCAAGTCGGCATCGCTGCCTCCATTCCAACTTCGCATTGGCTGTCGTCATGCCTTGGTTTTCAGCAGCAAATTCCCATGACCAGTGGTGGAGGGCTCCTAGCCCTCCGTGATGGGGCTCGAGGGTCCGTAAGACCCTGGGTCCATGGTCAAGGCAACACACTTCCCAGATCTTCCCAGGATCTTGAGCTACCCAAGTCATCTTGCTTGGCCAAGGCCATAGGCCAAGCAGTCCTCTTACAAACTGACATGTAACCCCTACCACCTTTTCCTTTACATCTCGAAATTCCCACCTAATTATAGACATCTATAGACTATAGACCCCCTAAGCTCCAACCTCCACCAACATCCCCATCAACGGGGCCAAGGCTCCAATGCCCACCAGCAACGGCAGGACATAGGACGCGATCACCAGAACCATCGCCAGAAAGAGCGCCTGCGGAAAGACCCTCCGCGGCTCCAGGACTTCCCCCGCCAGGGTGGAGGCGCTGTCCTCAAGCCGTGTGGATGGACAAATCCCTGCACCAGTTGGTAACTATGCAATAATTATGAAACATATGAAACACTGTCAATACTCGGATTTGGGATAAACCACCTACCGGCTGGTGCAGGATGTCTTCCATCCACAGTATATGTACAATGTATGCAAATATAATCACACATATACATATATATATATATACGTATATATATATATATATATATGTGTGTGTGTGATATGTATGTAGGTTCATGCGGATCTTTTTCCGGATAACAATGAGGCTGTTCATTGTCTTTGATCCTGAGAACCATGGATTTTAGGCTACAAGGTTTCGACGCAGGCAAAGGGGATTCCCAACTTTGGCAGTGGGAACGCCCAAAGAACAGTCAGAGTCAGAGCATAAACAAGTCTCTTCAATTCTCTTCATGTTTCAGTCTGGAGCCAAGCGGGGCACTGTATCCAACGCAAAGAGAATCAAGCGAAAGTATGCGAAAGTGACAATGCACTATTGAGATTTTTGAAATGTGCCTCAGGCTTACTAGCCACCGTTAATGCATCCAAAGCATCCCAGTAGTTCAAATTCCAGAACAGCACGTTCCTTGGCGTTGCTTTTCGGTTCAGCCCGCTGCAGCCCAGCCCGTCCATCTCAACGTTACAAGACACTGAGCTTAGTGTGCTGTTTCCCACAGCTATAGCAGAAACAAATACCTCACCCAGTGGACAAGTTTCAAGTTGGAATTTCTGACCATGACATCTGGAGAAAATGATTTATATGGTTTCTGACCAGGAAGACATCACAGAGAATCCACCTTGCTGTTGTCCTGGTGGTGCGGTCAAGGATCAAATACTTCTGCCAATCCATCTCGTGCAGTTCGGGCCTCAAACAGTGCCCTTTAGGTGCCACAAAAGCCGCAAGGGATGGATCTGTAAACTTTTCGCCAATTTGAGCCGTGCCCAGAAAAATATGAGCCGCCCTAGGACATCCCAAATAGTGACGAAAATGGAAGTTGATAATGTTGACTCTGGTGCTATGCACTTATAATGGCAAGTGGTGAGTCGTGAGCATCCTGTCTCTTCCAACATGCTGCGTCCACACCTGCTACCGCTCAATGCCAGTGCCCCATTTGCCTGCTCGTTTGCTTTCGAAGTAGACCTATCTTTTTGGATTTTGTCCTGTCCAGCACTTCTGGATACATTGTAGACGGACATTCATGTAATATAATTAATATAATCAGTTGATAGCTTTCTGGAGGAACAGGGGTTGCCGTGACATTTTACAGGACTTACCTACCAAACGCATGCAAATGCTGCCAAGGGACACAACCAGCAGATTCGCCTCAAACAGCACAGGATAGGCTTGTGAATGGTTCTATATTGTTGCAACCTGGAAACCCTCTCCAGCGCAAAACCATCAGATACCATCAGGCATCTGGATGTGTGCCCAGTTGCCAGCTCCAGTCTGGGTAGACAGATTGGGACAACATACACGAAGGGCAGCACAGTAAAAATGGCCAGCAATACGGCAGACCTCACGGATGGCCATGGCGGCCATGAGGCACCTGATAGCACCATCCCTTCCCCACTTCTTCTCCATTTTTATCATGGGGATTAACCACCACCAACAAACACAACAAACACAACACCTGCAACTACAGGTTTCCCCCAAGGCAGATCTTCGAGGTACCAGCCCATGATGTTCAGGCCCATGTAGTTGAGCCATGATAACACCAAGGTGAAGGATACCACGCAAATAGTGCCTTTGTTCGCATGCAGGCTGAGCAGCAACACTCCCGGAAAAGTATTTAGAAACTGCGGGAAATTTGACACGAGTGGCAATGCAACACCAGCCTTTCTGAATACCTGGCAACATGGATGATGATAGACCAAGGGCGACTTGGGTATCCAAGAATTTGGATGTTGAACTTACAATTTGCAGTGTTTTCCTCCATCACTATCTGGGGAGGACTACCCGACTACCCTTGCAGGTCCAACCGCAATTTAGATGGCCTACGAGTGCGGATGTGAGGAAAAGGCAACATTTTGCCCAGCAATGTGCACTCCAGGCGTGCCATGTCATCTAACAATACTCACAACAAAAATGCGGCCGTAAAACCCATATATATATATATACGTGTGTGTGTATACATATTTAATCGTTCATATTTTGTTGTGTATAAATATATATATATATATATATATGCATGTATGCATGCATGTATGTCCGTGCACCCTGATGAACACCAAAGTGGCTGGCACAAGTACTAAGACTACGAGTGCAAATGGATGTTCATCCCCAAAGAACATTGTTCTGTGGGATGCTATATGGCCCCCTCCTCCACCAAAAAATCAACTATTACTATAGTCTATAGTTGTGGATGCCTGATCATTGAGAAAAATCACAGCATAGTAGAGAAAAGTTAGAAATCAACTGCAAAGTATCAGCTAAATATCACCTATCATCTATACTATCATAAAGATGTAGTTGTACGATCCTAATGTAGTCATACCAGTATGTAGTTTAATATATATATATATTAAATATTATATATATATATATATTATATATATATACTTATATATATATACACTGATACTAATATACCATCTCGTGGGGGCAATCCCTTATCGATGAGTTTCCCAGCCCATTTGCCAGTTGCACCGCATCGCCGAGCCGCGGGGCAGTCCCACTTCGGTGGCGGGGATCACATGCTTCAGGTAGTCGCAGAAGAGGACCTGGGCAATTCTCAATGGGAAAACCGCACCGGACGTGAAAGGACAAAGAAAATGGAAGAACTCATACTTAACACACCTGCGAAAATGGATAAACATGGATGAACATGGATGCAAATGGAGAATACTCAAAGTATCTTAGTCTTACAGTAGGCAAATGGATACAAATGGATGGATGGACTATCGAATAATTAGATGGATAATAAACAAACAAACAAACAAACGAACAAACAAACAAACAAACGGATATCAAACATAACATGTTTATATGCATACTTGATTTCTATGATAATAGATTATATGCATCCATGCAGCATTTTTTATATAATATGATTAATTTATATAATTTTATATAATGCAAACAACTATTATACCTATAAGCATGTAGACGTTTGCCGGTTTGGGATGGCTTCGGGGCCTCCAATTTAGGATCCATACCAAACATGGCTGGATCACTTTGATCTGACAGATTCTCCAAGAACGGAGCTCCACCTCTGTTAATGGCAATGAGCCTTGACAAAGATAAGCAGAAAATGCCATACGACATGTGCTGCTTCTACTCCGGACTTTAAGCAAGATGACAATGGGAAGTCTTTCTTATGCCAAATTGTGGTAACTTTATTGTGCTTTTGCAAGGGGCTGCATCTTGCACCACTCCAGGCCTCCCCCTCACATCAAATATGTCCAAAGGTCTGGGTAGATGGAGTTGTCACTCACGCCAGAGATCCAGGATAGGAAACCTTCCTAAGATTCGCGCTCAATGAAATCATGTGCAATACTGGGCCACTAGATATCACTAGATGCCACTAGGCTGTACAAGTGCATGATCTTGGCGGAGTTTGTGTGTGAAGGGTGCTTGTCCAACTGCTTACCATAGCGTTGCCATAGGGCCATAGGGTCAAATTAAGGATCCACATAGGATCCAACAGCGGTGTCTCCGGAGCGGGGGCAATGCTGATGGCATCTGGCCAGCAAAACACTGGTCTTCATCCATATGTCTTTTTCAAGAGGCGGTCAGGCGGTTGTCCAGTAACTTAAATGCGTGATTTTCACCGCTTTATTCACCAGAATGTTCCTTTTCCTCGTAATTATTCTCATTTGTGGGCAACTCTGGTTACGTGCAACACAACCTGGGACATCTACCCGCGCCCAGAATCTATGAAGCCCCAAAAAGGTCCAAAGGCAGCCTCAGATGTGCAGATGCAGCCGTGATGCAGCACTGCTGTCCACCAAATTTTGAGCCATGATCCACTGCGATCCACCCCCCAAAAAATGTTTGCAATGTTCTGCTCTATTGGATTTTCATCCCTGGCTATTCTTTTGGCTTGTGCAAGCCGTTGGCAAGGGCAGCCAAGTTTGGACGTTTCACAAAAATATCTCAGTGGCAAACTTGTTCCGATGGCATCTGGCGTGAGATTCTGCTAAACAAATCGGAATTCTGACAGGCACAATGGATATGGGCTTGTCTGAAATAGGATGCCCCCGGATTTCATGGTTAATCATCATTTTCACTCATTATCACCATTAACATGAGCATTCTATGGGTCTATGGCAGGGTCTCCCCATTTTCAGACACGCCCTTTTTTAGTCACCCGCCAAGTGACGGTGACCCAGGTCACGTAGCCCCCATTAGAGGGGAAGGCCGTGGCCAGTTCAGCTGCCACAAGGGCTTCAGGCACTGACCACACCGCGGGCATCAGAAGGAAACCCAGCAGCCCCAGCAGAGGGCCTCCCAACGGCCAGGAAAACCCACGACGATTGGGACCACAAACCATTATGGCTTATGTATGGCTCATGTCTGAAAATTCGAACCATCCAATTTTCATGGGCCACATTTTTTGAGCCATATCGCCATACCCTAAGGGTTCCAAGCAGCCAGCACCAGCTGGAGGTCAAACTTGCAGACCAAGAAGGATAAGTTTGAACCCACGTCAGAATGTGGGAGAAACGTCATCAGCCAAAAATAATGACTTACAATCTACAATCCACTACAATTCAATAATTGATACAAAATGCTTCTGATGCTTTACAAGGTCAAGTGGGGCAGAGACAAAACCAAATAAATCCTGCACACAGCTGGAAGTTGGAGATGCACTCAAATGTATCACTAGCAATAATGAAATCAAACATATATTACGTGAACCTGTAGGCACTGAAAAGGGAGATCAGCTGCAGAAATTAGATACATTTACCCTATATATATATAATGGCAATCCATTACTCATACTTATTGGTCAAATCCCTATTGATGATGATTTAAAAAACAAAAACCTATTGTTGGTGGTTGAATTCCAATATATTGGTGGTTATATGATATGTCTATCATTAGGATTTATATGTCAGCAAGTCTGCAGTCTTCAGTCCCTGGCAACGTATGTGACCAAGTCTTGCACCGGCAAACTTCGCGGCCCACAACTTCCAAACTGGCCACTGGCCATTCCTATCCTCTTGGGCGAACTTGGGAGAACCAGAGAGATTTGGCCCGGTTTGGCAATGGAAACATCTGAAACTTCCAGGCATTTCCAGCCTAGTCATCCCCCATTCCCTGCTATGCTCCCAAGCACCAGGCCCCCACCTGCTGCAGAGATCACATCTTCAGTTCCAAAGGGCCCTCCAGCTACGGAGTAGTAGATGATGGCCACCTCATCCCAGAAGAGGACACACAACAGCCCTCCAACGCCAAAAGGGAAAATCATCTTCCAATGGTTATCCAAAAAGTCACTAAGTCACTAAGGGTCCAGTAATTGGATCATCGCAAAGGCACAAGCCCTGGCATTGACAGCGAACGCAGCCGCTTGCTCCTGCCATTGGGTCGTGCTTGCAGATTAGCGTTGGGTCTGGTGGCTCCCAAAAATCTACATGAAGTGAGGATGTGGTCGACAAGAAAGTGGGGATGCAATGCAAATGGATGCGGGCTACCCTGGGTAAAATCACTAGGGTGACCCCCCAAAATAATTTTTCAGAATTATTCTGAGGTGCTTCAGTACATAACCCACTACAAAATATTTTTTCCAAAACACTCTAACCATCCCAAAATAATATCCTTTATCACTACCCACCTCCTCAAAATAATTTCTGAAAATTTGCAAATAAATTATTTTGTAGGGTTCTACTATTACTCAAAACCACTTCCCTTAGTTCAAAATAATTTTGGAAATTATTTCAAGGTGGTTTAAGATGGTTTTGGATGATTGAAAAAACAAGTAGAACCACCTCAAAATAAATAGCAAAAATCCCCACAAAATTATTTTGGGGGGTCACCCTACCTATCCTCCCGAATGCACCCGACAAGCATTGTCGGAATTTCATGATTTAGACCATCGATTTTTGGACAAAGAAATCTGAATCGACCCCTTCCTATCCCATAAATTATTTTGGGGGTGGTTAACTACTAAACCACCCCAGAAATAATAATAGCCTAAACTGGCAAAATTAACTTCCCATTGAGTAGTTCAAAATCCAAATTGCCTCGAACAGACAAACCCTGAGATTTACCATGAATTACTTGCTGAACTAATTATTTTTTAGAACATCGACTTAGCATCGGCTTTTGGGCAAAGAAACCTGAATCGATTCCTCTCTCCCCAAAAATTATTTTGGGGGTGGTTAACTACTAGACCACCCCAGAAATCCAAAATAACCTAACCTTGCAAAACTCAACTTCCCTGGAATAGGTCAAAAATGCCAAACCTGATCCAAATTGACCCAAACTGTCTGAAAGAATCAAACCATGAGAACCCAATTATTTTGGGGGTGGTTAACTACTAAACCACCTATGATTTAGACCATCGATTTTTGGACAAAGAAATCTGAATCGACCCCTTCCTACCCCATAAATTATTTTGGGGGTGGTTAACTACTAAACCACCCCAGAAATAATAATAGCCTAAACTGGCAAAATTAACTTCCCATTGAGTAGTTCAAAATCCAAATTGCCTCGAACAGACAAACCCTGAGATTTACCATGAATTACTGGCTGAACTAATTATTTTTTAGAACATCGACTTAGCATCGGCTTTTGGGCAAAGAAACCTGAATCGATTCCTCTCTCCCCAAAAATTATTTTGGGGGTGGTTAACTACTAGACCACCCCAGAAATCCAAAAAAACCTAACCTTGCAAAACTCAACTTCCCTGGGATGTGTTGGGATTGACGGGATGTGGCTTGAATGAAGTTGGAAATGGCTGCAGATTGATTCAAAGAATATCCTGACTGAACATGTTGAAATATGTAGTTGAAATTTGATGTAATATGCTGAAATTATTTTGCAGGTGGTTTGCAAGTACCCCCACCCCATGAAATAATTTTCATCATGGGTGTCTGGTAATTATTTTATACAGTTGGAACTATATGAAATAATTTCCCCAGTTCAACTGAGAAATTATTTTGAGGTGCCTTAAGTTGTTTGTTTAAAATTATTTCAAGGTGCTTCAACCTCTGTAGGTGGAAAATTATTTTGCACCATCATCAAGGTACGGGTGCAAAAATTATTTTGCTATGGCTCTTGTCGGGTGATTTTAACATAAAATTTATGTTAAAAATGGAAATTATTAAAAAAAAAAATATTTTGGAACCAACCCCCACCTCAAAATAATTTCCTAAGGTAGGACGCATGCAAATGGGATATAACCTTATACTTTTACAACTCATAGGAATCAGTAAATTCCACAAAACCAACGGCGGAGCCTGAAATTCAACGCCAAAGGAAAGGATAGGAAAGGCACATGTGATAGGACATGATGGGACCCTGGTTCTGAGGCACGTCTACCGAGTCTAGCCCACCTTGTGGTGGTTGCGACCCATCTCTCACCAAGAAGCAGAGGTGTGGCATGCCCACCTCGCACCTGGCCAGCTGAGGCTCTGTCCACTCGAAAAGGTGGTTCTAGCTTTCCAAACGCCCAAAAAAAAGGCTGGCGGAAGGGCTTAGCAAAATGGAAAAATGGATTTGGAAAAATGGATTGATCATGTAACATGGGTTGACCATCATTTAAACGACGTATCTTCGCATATCTTGTGCATCTTCGTTAAGTCTTCGTTCGATGATCTTCGAGTCTGCACCACAAGGCACCCCCCTGAGCCTGTGGGATTCCGTCCTCCATCAAAGGCCATGAGATCAAACCATGGGGCACATGTCTGATCCAAGTCTTGGAGAATGCACAAGAAGATCACTTGAGGCCTTCGTCATCTGTTTACTTATCTATATAATATCTTCGATTTACATGCATATAATCATAAATATATGTATATAATATTATATATAATATGTATATATAGTAAGGTTTGGTTGGGACCCCACTGTTTCCATGTCATGAGGACTATTGGTGTATTTTGGATAGAGTTTTCATGTGTAAAAGTTGTTTAGTTTGATATCATTGGAACCTTGGAGCTGCACTTTTCCACAACTTGAGGGGACCAGAAGCACCAATTGGCATGGTTCGGGTTTGGGGGTTCCGTGGACTGCCGATTTGCTCAGAAGAGCTACATGGGATGAGCTGCTGCCTCATAAGGTGAAGAAGCATAGCATCTGATGATCCCATTGACCCTAAGGTGCGGCAGGGGAGCAGCAGTGGCAACAAGAAACGCTCACGGTTTGCCAAGGATGGCACCCAACGCCCTATGAATACCCCGAAAGTTTACAGTAAATGCAACCCCAAAAACGATTCAAACAATTTCAAACACATATCAACCATGTCAACACGCAGGTCATCCAAGGACAGGATCCGCATTTTCCAGGTTTTTTCAGCCCTACTAATTTGGGAGGGCTGGAGTCATTGAGGTTCTAAGTGGTTGGTGTTTCAACCTATCCAAACAGCTGACAGTCGGGATCATCATCCCAAGTGGGGGTAGAATATTTGAAACCAGCAGCCTATTGGCATGATGATCCAACAAAAAGCCACCAGTAAAAAAAAGATTCGTTGGTCCGACCATTCAGGACTGAAAACTAACCACTAAAAACTTACCGTAAGTGGTTCGAAATCATTGAAAGATATATGGATTGAAACCAACCCACCAAAACCTGTCAGCTGAACCTTGTTCCGATGCTTTCTGGCGCAAGGACGCGTTGCGAAGAAGCGCCTGGCGGTTTCCGATGCGCCAAATTCAGTCAGTAAGGACATGTATACTGAATACAAACCATATACATATCGATATTTGGAGACCACAATATGGTAGACTGACCACAATTTGGAGCACTGTTTTTGTGGTTTGGATCGACAAATTGGATATTGAAAACCAAAAAGGTCAGCCAATCGAGTTCTGAAGATCGATTCAATTCAATGATTCAAATCTGGAATATGATTTGGAAGGCCCATGATTTTGAATACACTAAATATATATATATATATATTTAAATGGTATTGAGACTGAGCTGCCACTAACTGGCCAGAGAGTATCTCTCTCTCCATCACCTTCAGACAGTAAAGCCACCAATTCGCGCAGGTGATTTCTCCACTGCGCCGATCCCAGACTTCCCTTGGCCAATAGCCAACAGGCGGCAGATCAAATGGAAGACTGCAGACCCACGTAGCCCATCATGGCTCATCATACCTGGTAAAAAAAAATAACGCAAAAAATCTGGTAAGGCTTTGGCCCACCAAAACCTGCAGGTTGACGTTCTCATACCAGCGAAATTGATCGAAATTGATCATCAGGTTGGTTCCTCCATGGTTGAGGCTGAGGGCTTCCTAGCTAGGTCTTCCAGTGCCTTTGCTGGGGGGTTCGTGAAACTGGCCCCAGCCGGAAGGGCCTTTCAGACCAAACAATCCTAGCTAGCATGGAGCAGTGTGGAGTTCACCATGCAACTTGACTGGTGACACATAGCATTAATTACATAGTGTTTAGTTTATTTTTGAGAGTCTAGAGGTGATCATGGAAGTTGATTCTCGGAACATGCCGAGAACTTGGGCAGGTGACCCAAAAAAAAACATACACAAGTGGCTGCCCCTGGAATTTTGCATACCCTGACGGTCCTGACGCTGCTCACATGCAGTAAGCGCGGCAATGCCACGGAGCTGCGGGGAAAGAAGGTTGTGACACGAGTCTTTTAGCCAGCCATGTTTTTTCATGTGCCCGGACTCCGGACTTTAAAATCCAAGAATGAGTTGACACATCCAGGTGTTGTCCACCGCAGCTCAAGACACAGCAACCCCGAGGTTCACCCAGCCAAACGGCAGTTTGCAGCAGGCCGCACGGTGGCACAACTCCAGGTCCAAGCATCAATGGGGACCAGTTTCATGAGTAAACCGCTTCGCTGGTTATGTTTTGAGTTAAGGTGTAGCAAAATCCATCCTATTTTGGCTGGTCATCATTCATCATCAACAAAACCATTTTGCAACCCATGCCCAACTGGCCTGGGACATGTGCCACCCACCGTTTTTGGGTCCCAACTCCAGCCCCGGATGTGGAGCATTAGGGAGCTGTAAGTGCTGTGAAATTCACTAAGATCAATCATCAAATGGCCCCCTACCAGTTCAAAAGGTTTATAACCATGTGTACATGGTGGATAAGCAATGACAAACATCTATAACTATGAAAACTGGTAGGGGCCCACTACTGTGCAATGGGCCTGACCCGGTGCCATGGTACAGACTGGGGATGAGATGGGATGAGTAAACTGAGTTGAGATCGTATCAGGTCGTTTTGATCCTTCGGACCGCAGTCGAAGGCAAAACACTTCGCGAGTCAGGGATCCCAACTGCTCGCATACTGCATGCGCATTGGCACGCACATTTTGGTTCGAACCAATCGTGTGCTTCACTAGCCCTGGGGCTCTGTAACGTGACCCTTCCGAGTATTTTCGATGAACAAGTGCAATCCAACTGGCCTTGTAATCTTATGTCAATCCATCTCAAAAATCCCTCAAACATATTCGGTAATGGTCAGTTGGAATAATCTCAGGTAGTGACGGACATGAAAATTGGAACCAGCATCCAGTTTTGAAAGTATTTTCCTTTATATAATCCTTTAGTTTTTCTGAGATCCATGGGCCAAGCGGCTATGAAATCAGTTCTCAGCCCCAGGTGCTGATCGAAGCTGAAGACCTAATCTTGCCTGCAAGACGTAGGCGTCGTGCTGGTGTCGTTGAGTGAGATCATATGACAATGCTGGTATACCGCTGGTGAACATCCCGACTAGCTGGCATGGATGTTCATCCCCAAAAATAGGGAAAATTTGACATATCCCTATATAGTTTGACTATCTCTCGGGATGCGTTCCTGGAAAGGTACTGAGCTGACCCGCGTAGTAGCATACAAAATTGATCCCAGTTGAATAAGATGGTACCGTTCTGGGATATTTCTGGATGTGCCCATGATTAATCATCCTTCCCACGCTGGAAACCATCAACACTGAGTGAAACAAATTCTGCGCATCCCTGAAGCTAAAACAAAAACAAGAGCAACCAACGAACCCGAATGCAGTCACGTAAAACACATTCATGCAACAAGTTAGTTATTTTCAACAGTTTTGTACATTTTTCCCCTGTTACCCTACTAGTGTAGACTGTGGAGTGTGGAAAAGGATGGCGTGCAAAGTGTGGAGTGCAAAGAAAATGGAGTGTTGAGGGGGAAATGTAGCTCGTAGGGTATGAAGTTATGAAGTGGAGATTGTGGAGTGTGGAGTGTCAGGTGTAGAGTGTAGAATGTGGAGCGTAAAGTGTACAGTGTAGAGTGTGGAGTGTAAAGTGTAGAGTGCGGAGTGTGGAGTGTAAAGTGTCAGGTGCAGAGTGTGGAGTGTAAAGTGTAGAGTGCAGAGTGTGCAGTGGCAAGTGTAAAGTGTGAAGTATAAAATGTAGAGCGTGAAGTGCGGAGTGCGGAGTGTAAAGTACAGAGTGCGGAGTGCAAAGTGTAAAGTGAAGAGTGTGGAGTGTAAAGTGTAGAGTGTGAAGTGTCAAGTGCAAAGTGTGGAGTGTAGAGTGTGGAGTGTACAGTGTAGAGTGTAGACTGTAGAGTGCAGAGTGTGGAGTGTAAAGTGAAGAGTGCGAAGTGCAAAGTGTAAAGTGCGGAGCGCAAAGTGTAAAGATGTTTAGAGTGTAGCGTCTGGGGTGCCAAGTGCAAAGTGTGGACTGTAAAGTGTTAAGTGTAGCGTTTAGAGTGTGGAGTGTAAGGTGTAGAGTGTGGAGTGTGAAGTGTGGAGTGCAATGTGTAGAGTGTGAAGTGTAAAGTGTAGAGCATGGAGTGTAAAGTGTAGAGTGTAGAGTGTGGAGTGTAAAGTGTCAGGTGTGGAGTGCGCAGTGGTAAATGTAAAGTGTGAAGTATAAAGTTTAGAGTGTGGAGTGTAAAGTGTAGAGTGCGGAGAGCAAAGTATAAAGTGCCAAGCGCGGCAAGAAGAAAGTGTGAAGTGTAAAGTGTAGAGTGCGGAGTGCAAAGTTTAAAGTAGTGAAGTGTAAAGTGTAGAGTGTCCTAAATACTAAATACTGTGCCTGTGACGCAAGTGATATTCCAGACACGACGGATCTGCACCAAACGCTGCGTCTGCCATGCAAAAGGACACTCCCACGATATCCCACACGGTCCCACACCTGCCACACAATTTGCACGTTGTCACCGCTTGACGCAGCCCTGACAATGAGATTCGGAAAAACACGCAACACCACACATCTAAAGTGCTGCGCCTGCCACCTCAAAATGAACATTTACACCTCCAAAGTGTTGCGCCTGCCAGGAAAAATACAACTCATCTTCTGATTGCACTTGTCACACAGAACGACTTTTGACACGTTATGAAACGAAGTGTCACGCCTGCCACACGAAACGAAACGAGGTTACGCGACGTTTGGAACGTCCAAAAGCGACCACTTTTGCAGCAGTCGCTGTAGGCACGGCCATACAGTAGCGTCCTCATCGCGGTCGTGCTGCGGACGGCTGCCGACTGTTGCGAACGCGTCTCCACCCCCAGACCCCCAAAGCAAAACGAGAACCCTTCGCTACGCATTAGGGGAAACTGAATCAAACCCGAATCGAATAGTTCCCTTTTCCAAATTCGTTGGAAAAAGGAGGCCTCATAGTGGAGTTGAGCCAAACAAATATGAAGGCCCTTGAAAAACCAAAATAATTTATAATTATAATATAGAGCCGAAACCGCATGTGAAAAAGATGGTTTTCCCATTGACATGCGCATGTATTCATTCTTTGTCAGCCTTCTCATTTCAAAAGTCTGAAAAGTATACCACCCGCATTCAAAACAAAGTAGATGAAAACAGCCCATGTTTGGCAAGTCTAATGAGAAAAAGCGGTGATAAACCCTTGGATTTGGATGATTTGGTGGTTTTGCCCTACATGTTAAACCCGGTTCTGAACTTGGCTGACCCACCTTGCGAGCCGATGAGGGGGCGGGGCTGTGCAAATGGTCGCCTTCGCAGGGGCCGTGCTTGAGACACTGAAGTGGTGATGTCATAGATATCCCTTGCAAAACAAAGAAAACAAGTGAACATTTCAAAGCGACTCTTGTGTTGAGAGCATCAATATGCATCAATTTTTTGAATCCTTTGGGTAGCCCTTGGTCTCGCAACAAATGCATGGCTAGGTCCTGAATTTCGGTCGGGAAAAACATGGAAGAAAAACAGGCACGCGCAAAACCTCCACAAATTCTCTGCCTATGACGTACCCATGCAGCCATGCTCCTTTACCCCCCATCCGATGGGTTCTCGGGCCATTCGGGAAGAGCACCACCAGCCGATCCGTTGGCACCTGCGGGGTCGATGTCAGGAGCATTCCAGACATGCAATGTGGGATCCCCAAGGGTTTGGAGGGTGATTCTCTCCAATTGGAATGGCAAGGCATTTGGCAAAAAAAAATGATGGATGATGCCAAACATCATGCCGAAACCGTTTGAATAAGATGGTCGGCATGATGCTAAACCATTGCAGGATTCCCGGATAAAAAAAGCATACTGAAGGGAAGAACGAAACCGTTTTGAAAAAGAATCATACTCAAGATCCTTTCAACCCAAAAAAAATGGATGACGCGAGACAGGAGCAACAAAAAACAATCACTGGATGACTGGATGATAATGAATATACTGATATACTTACCAAAGAGCGAATCTGGCCAAAATGAAGCAATCAATTTGTGGAACCACTAACTAGATAACGATGTCTAGTTCAATCATTTTACAAATGGGAAAACCTTCGCCCAACTTAAACATATACTCAGAATTAGTTTATCCATATGTGTGCGTGCAAGTAGGAGTAAACAAAGATATGGCATACAAATTAGATGAAAAGATATAGGTAGCAATATTTATATGTGTGTGTGAAACCCGCTAGGTGTCATGCGGGAAAGAATTATTCAAGCAATTCAAATCTTCAGAATCACATGGACATTAAGCAGGGGGACTGCCTGTCTTGTAACACATTGACAGTTCAATGAACAGACTGTTACAAGTCACTGATACGGATTCTGGACGCAGAATCCACGTACCTGCAAAAATCAGATATGGTCACCTGTTGTTCTGTCAGTCTGTGAAGCTGTTTCAGGTTTTCACTAGGTCTGATTGCATTTTCGCTGGGGCCTCATTTACTGGAGGCGATAACAACCTCCCAATTATAAAGCTCCATTTCGGATTATCAGCAGTGTGAACGGGCACGGTCTCACTGACTTGCGAGTGCCGTCGGTACGCTCTGTGGCGTCCATTGAATCAGAGCCGGCCTTCCGGTGCAGGTGCAGAATGGGGTACTGCAATACCCCGGAGTTGTGACGGGACTTAGTGCCCGTGGGAATTGGCTTCAGGCCGCAGTGTATGAATTACTGGTACGAAGATTGGAAGAAGTCGCAGGACTGCAGTATGTCGCCGGCGGACCGGGGCCATATGGCAGGGAATTTAAAATGAAAGGAAATGAAAAGCAGAAAACTGATGATTGCAACTTGGCACAACACCATCCCCCCCCTCTCCGGGTGCGACCCTGGATACTTGGGTATAGCTGAGTGCACCTTCCCTCTTCTCCCCGGTGGGTCACGGGATGCAGAACGCATAGTTTGGGACACCCCCTCTTCCCAGAAGTGTGTTTGTGCCTTCCCTATTTTTTTTGCTTTCTTGCCTCTTCTGCTTTGCACTGTTTGCCCTTCTGGGTGCCAGGGTTGGGTTTCTTTCCACACCTTCCCCCCTTTTTCTGCCTGCGTTCTGCCTGCTTGTTGTGTGCTCCCCTTGCCTGCTGTCTGCCTTTGATTGTTTTTCCTCTTGTTTCCCCGTTGTTTTGTTGTGGCTGGCTGTCCTTGTTTCCCCCCTCCTTCCCTCCCACCCTCTTGTGTGTGCGCGCGTGTCGAAGAAGGTTTGGCCGTCTTCATTTCAGATTCCTGGTAATTCTTGTCTGACGAGATAGCTGTATTTCGACCACTGGAATCAAAGAACAGATTATCAAATGAGTCCGATCATACCACCCGCGGATTGACGTTTCAGAGATCTTTCCGTTTTTGTCATGACGCCGTGTAAAAAGATGGAGATGGAGAAAAGGTACCTTCGTGACATTTTTGCCCTTGTTTCAAGGGCTCTTGTGAGTGTGTGAGAATCCCGCGAGGTGTCAACCGGGAGAGAATTATTCAAGCAACTCAAATCTTCAGAATCACATGGACATTAAGCAGGGGGACTGCCTGTCTTGTAACAGTGGCAGTTCAATGAACAGGCTGTTACAAGTCACTGATACGGATTCTGGACGCAGAATCCACGTACCTGCAAAAATCAGATATGGTAAGTCTGTGAGGCTGTTTCAGGTTTTCACCAGGTCTGATTGCACATTTTCGCTGGGGTCTCACTTGCTGTCAGGACGGTTTTACCCAGGAAATCTGAAGGCCGTAACAACCTCCCCATTATAAAGTTCCATTTCAGAATAATTACGCCTATCACCAGTTACCAACTTGGATGCTTCTGCCACAGTTTCCCTGCGCCTCAATGAGCTGGGCAAGTTTCTCGAGGAGCCATGCAGCAGTTTGCCGCTGCGCCACAGCCACCTGGCTATGTGCCAAGGTGGGAAATCTGGACTGGAAGCCCTCCGAAAGGAAGGTCATATATTGTAGCAACCCATAGCACCCCCAAATGGATAGAAAAGTTGGACAACTCGAACATGATTTTTCAGGCGAGCCCCAGCATGAAAATCGGGATTGAACCATCAAAACATAGGGATTTAATCAATGAAATGTAAAAGGGTGTCTCTGAAACTGAGAGATTTACCTTCAAACAAATTGCAATTTCATCGGATTTTGGGGTGCCCTATTTTCAGACAAACACCCAAGCCCCCAAAAAATAGAAAAGCAATCTCCTAGGAAAATCACCGTGAATTACTTTTTGGGGGGCTTGCTATATCCAGTCAAGAAAAATGTGTTTTTTTTCGATGAGCTGGCCTGAGAGTCCAAGAGAAATGAGTCCAGCAATGCCACTGACAGAGGATCAGTGGAACTGAAAATTGATCGCTAGGCTTTCCATAGCGAGGCAATATAGTTGCAAAATGTTGCAAATATATTCTGTACTTCAGCCAATGCGTCCAGATCATCGGTCAACGGAAAAGGACATACGTCATCCGCCGTCATGGCGACTTGAAAGAGGAACAAAGTTGGAGAATGTTCTTCCAGGGACTCTACATCCTAATTTGGATGGGTGTGATTTAAATCTATAGCTGATTTATGATGCCGAAGTTGGTTTATAGCTCCAATGACTAGGGATTTTGGTCATTATAACTTCATAAGTATAGACATCTATAGACTATAGTCAATGGATGTCAATGGTCAAGATTTGAAACCATTAAACCATTAATCCGGTGCTCATGTTTGGAATTTCTATCCAGTTTTGGGGCTACTCTGCGTCAAAAAGCTTAGCCCCCCAACTGGATTTGGTCCTCTCGCTTCTTTTTCTGAACCCCGTCACATGAGGCTCGTTTCCATGGTTCTTGTCTTATCCAATGTTTTCCATCCAAGAAAAAACAGAAGAACAAGTATGAACCCTGTTCTTTTCAATGTGTCCTCTTTCAAACACGTGTGTATATTTATATATATATATCTGCAAAGTTTACTTTAAATTCAAAACGGTTTCCTCGTCTTAAATCTATTTTTCCCCTCTGATTAAATCTTCAGTCCTCGCCTCGTTACATTCAAAACGGATTTCAGCCCTCGTCCCATTTCTTTCTCGACCGCAAGCCATTCGCACTAGTCCTCTGCCTCCTTTTGGGTTGAACTTTTTTGAACTATCTTTGTCGTCGTTGCAGCAACGCTCTGGGCTCCAGAGGCTTGGGGATGCTGAAAAAACTTTTCAGGGCCTAAAAGGTTTTTTCCTGTTTCCGAGATGCCTCTTTTACAAGCGGATTTGCAGGGGCTCGATTCCCCCCAAATTCGACCCCAGAGAAGAGAAGCTGCAGCAGCAGCACCAAGATACCCCGCTACACCTCAAGCTTTAGCAATTTTAGAATCTTGTCGCGCTACCTGGGAAAGGTGAATAAGAACTATTGACCAAAATTTCAGGGTTCCCTAGGGTTCTTATTTCAATTAGCTGGTAGACAGAGTTGAATCCAGCAATCCAGCCCCTGAGGTTCTTAATGCAGTGGATTCTTAAACAGTGGTTTCACTGTAGAACAAATACGGAAGTCCTGGAACAACCGGGCATGCCACCACAGGGCACTGACTGAAATTACGATAAAAAAAACTTTTCGGGCTCCAGAAAGTTTTTTCACGGGGTCTGAATGCACCCTTAATTTTCTATTTTATTCAACTCTGATGGGAACAAAAAAAACTTTCTGGAGCCCGAAAAGTTTTTTTTCACTCGTTACACATGCTTTGAAAGCAATTTCTGCCCACCTCGTTTTCTGAATTTAATTAATTCACCTCGCTTAAATTGCAAAGATTCACCTCGTACCTCGTCAGCCCTCGCTCTAAATTATGCAGATCTGCAAAATTTACTTTAAATTCAAAACGGTTTCCTCGTCTTAAATCTATTTTTCCCCTCTGATTAAATCTTCAGTCCTCGCCTCGTTACATTCAAAACGGATTTCAGCCCTCGTCCCATTTCTTTCTCGACCGCAAGCCATTCGAACTAGTCCTCTGCCTCCTTTTGGGTTGAACTTTTTTGAATTATCTTTGTCGTCGTTGCAGCAACGCTCTGGGCTCCAGAGGCTTGGGGATGCTGAAAAAACTTTTCAGGGCCTAAAAAGTTTTTTCCTGTTTCCGAGATGCCTCTTTTACAAGCGGATTTGCAGGGGCTCGATTCCCCCCAAATTCGACCCCAGAGAAGAGAAGCTGCAGCAGCAGCACCAAGATACCCCGCCACACCTCAAGCTTTAGCAATTTTAGAATCTAGTCGCGCTACCTGGGAAAGGTGAATAAGAACTATTGACCAAAATTTCAGGGTTCCCTAGGGTTCTTATTTCAATTAGCTGGTAGACAGAGTTGAATCCAGCAATCCAGCTCCTGAGGTTCTTAATGCAGTGGGTTCTTAAACAGTGGTTTCACTGTAGAACAAATACGGAAGTCCTGGAACAACCGGGCATGCCACCACAGGGCACTGACTGAAATTACGATAAAAAAACTTTTCGGGCTCCAGAAAGTTTTTTTTTCACGGGGTCTGAATGCACCCTTAATTTTCTATTTTTTTCACTCTGATGGGAAAAAAAAACTTTCTGGAGCCCGAAAAGTTTTTTTTCACTCGTTAGACATGCTTTGAAAGCAATTTCTGCCCACCTCGTTTTCTGAATTTAATTAATTCACCTCGCTTAAATTGCAAAGATTCACCTCGTACCTCGTCAGCCCTCGCTCTAAATTATGCAGATATATATCTATATATATATATATATATATTTCGATGTGCATATATAAATAAAATAATAATAACAATAATAATAAAAAATAATAATATGTATAGTTAACATATGTATATTTCTATATCTATTTCTATTCGATACAAAATCCTCGAAACCTGCAATCCCAAAGCTCGTGTCCACGGGCCGCCTCAACCTTCTGCTGCCCCGCCAGGGTGCAGGCGCTCACGCGGAACCGGGCACGTCGTGGGCATCCCCAGCGCCAACGCCAGCCCTGGGATCTTTGTAACAAATCCGATTAACATATGTATATATATATATAGAAACGGCATGAAACGAAATTGTTACATTTTTGTGGGTTCGTTCCATATAGTCCTGCAAAGAGAAACAGAGATATAGAAAGAGAGAGAGAGGAAAAAAAAGAGTAAACATATTACTTGTATGTAATTTTATGTATAATGATGGCTCATGGAGGCCAGACAGTTGAAGAAATACCCAGGGTAAGGCGTGAGGTTTGGTAAACATGTGTATAGAGTAAGTGTTTCCACTGACCTAGCTACAGGAGCTCAATGTCAGCTCAACACTTTGAGAACTTTTTCTTGGAGAGGCTAGCATTTGGTATCCTTAAGATTGTAAGAATTGGGGAGTCATAGATTTGTGACTGACAACTGGCGGCAGCGTGCACACAAAAAGCTCATGCTGGACGACTCAGATTGGAGACTCGGCATAGCCCTGCGGCACCTTGAGACCAGTCAGCCCCGTCACTGCCACTTGCAAGACAATGACCTAAGGGAAGCACCATGGCTATCTTGGGAAAATGTGCCTTGAAGCGACATTTCTGTAGGATTATATACATGTTCCATGGGCCTAGGGGTTCCTGTAGAAAGAAAAAGCTATAGTAAAGTTATGTAAAGTTCATCCATCGCCATTACTAGTAGAGAAAACAATTATATACTCTTTACGGACTTCTGGTGATATTCAGCTACACTCGTACCTGATTTGGATTGATTTGGGAGTGTCATTGATTAAATCAGCTGCCAAAGACGGAATGAATCGCTGACTGCTTCTTGGTTCTACTCATTGCATTGACCCAGTTTTACTTTCAAATCCTTCTCAACCATCCGAACCCTTATCTATCTGTACAAATATCTGTCTGTACAAATATCTGGCACACAATACATCAAAATACGTGTTATATATTGATTGATTTAAGCATTTAATTATCTAGTTATTAATTTATCTATTTATCTACCTATCTGAAAAATCGATCTATCCAGTCTATCCATCTATCTATGTATATCTAAATATATCTATATATAATGTTACTTTTGTTTTCATTTATATTTCTCTATCGGATATAGATATACCGTAGACATACTGCGTGTAGCTCCCCCACCCTGGGCCCCAACTGTCTGCCGCAGCTCATCGAGAAGTTCAGCCACCCGGCCACGGGCCTGCACCGTCACCCATCTGATATTGGATATATCGTATTGACATATCATACCCAAAGTGTTAATATCATTCATGTATAACATTGTAAAATATTGTATAACTGCTAGACTATATAAATAGTTATAACTAACTATAATCATACATATACACACATGTATATATATATGTGTGTGTGTGTGTCTGTATGTATGTATGTATCTATCTATCTATCCATCCATCCATCCATCCATGTATGTATGTATGTATGTATGTATGTAAGTATGTATGTATGTATGTATGTATGTATGTATGTATGTATGTATGTATGTATGTATGCATGTATGTATGTATGTACGTATGTATGTGAGTATGTGAGTATGTGAGTATGTGAGTATGTGAGTATGTGAGTATGTGAGTATGTGAGTATGTGAGTATGTATGTATGTATGTATGTATCTATCTATCTATCTATCTATCTATGTATGTATGTATGTATCTATCTATCTATCTATCTATCTATCTATACATCTATCTAATCTATCTAATCTATCTAATCTATCTAATCTATCTAATCTATCTAATCTATCTAATCTATCTAATCTATCTAATCTATCTAATCTATCTAATCTATCTAATCTACCTAATCTATCTAATCTATCTAATCTTTCTAATCTATCTAATCTATCTAATCTATCTAATCTATCTAATCTATCTAATCTATCTAATCTATCTAATCTATCTAATCTATCTAATCTATCTAAGCTATCTAATCTATCTAATCTATCTAATCTATCTAATCTATCTAATCTATCTAATCTATCTAATCTATCTAATCTATCTAATCTATCTAATCTATCTAATCTATCTAATCTATCTAATCTATCTAATCTATCTAATCTATCAATCAATCTATCAATCAATCTATCTATCTATCTATCTATCTAATCAACTAATCAATTTATCAATCTATCAATCTATCAATCTATCAATCAATCAATCAATCTATCTATCTATCTATCTATCTAATCAACTAATCAATTTATCAATCTATCAATCTATCAATCTATCAATCAATCAATCTATCTATCTATCTATCTATCTATCTATCTATCTATCTATCTATCTTATCTATATATATGTGTGTGTGTATTGTCTATTAATAAGGGATATGCTGTCGCAGCCATCTTTTGACGCATAATGTTCATGATTTTTCCAGATTTCTTGGTGGCCCATTGAGAAAAGTATCCAGCTTCCACTTGGATAGTTGAACCTTCTGAAACCCACTCTTTGGGGAGACTCCATGTTTAGAAAAAGACTATAGCCACCCTGAAACTCTCCAAGCATCTTCTATGAAGCCCAAGGACCCATCTTCATGTTGCAACCATCTGCAAATCTTCTTTCGCCATGTTTCGCCTCCTTGGAGGATGCTTGTTTCTGCATGTTTCTGCCATCTGTACAGTTTTCAAATGCTCGCCGATTCTGCGGCTGAAGAGGACCAAATGCCGTTCAGTGCCAGGAAAGGGCGATGGCTGTACAGTATTTAGGCATGTGTTAAAGGCTCAAATTGCCAGGAAATGACCCGAAAACTGAGGTGATCTTTGGCATCACCCAGGTCATCTTGACCCAAGACCGTGCAGAAAAAGACTCCGGCCAGGTCAAAAGCATGCAATGGACTCCTGTGCTGGTCCATGTCTACGTTGGAGCCCCTCACAGACTCCAAACGCCAGGGTCGGACCCTGCTGACAGCCGGCCGTGGCCGGTCCGAAACGGACGCCCCATGACGCCCTCCGGAACAAGAAAAGGAGGGGTCGAGGTGTCGGGATCGGAAAAAAATGCAATCCAGGAAGAACCCGCAAATTTCTAGCTCCCCAAGTAGATGAGGAAAAGGAATCGTTGGACATTTTCTTAGAATGAAGCTGCCAGGAGCTGCAGATTACTTTTGAATTTGGGGTCTTCTACCTGTACTTCCAATTAATAATAAGATGGTCGACGGTCGACCGAAACCTACACATTAATCCGACTGGAGTCGGTCTGTTCAATGTACGTCATTCATATCTGGGTATGGGCCAAGAGTTCAAGAACGTTCAAGACCTCCAAAACAACAAATGTTTGTCATGTGGTGAGCCTTCACCATTGACTTTCATGTTGGGCTTGTTGGCCCATACCCTTCGCACTGATCTCACTGTCAGGATCTTGTGACGCAGTCGTCCAGATTGAAATCAGCTTCAGCAACTTATCCTGAGATTCACGAAGGAAGACGCAAGCCAGGTGGAGAGAGACTCACAGGACTCGACTGAAGAATCAACGTCCTTAAGCAACCCACCTCAACCGTGCAGCAATGCTGACAATCTGTACGTATTAGAACCACCAATATTTTTTCCTGTCTCTTGATGTCTTTTGATCATTGTGCTTGTGAGCCAACCCTCCCCCTAAAAAAAACTACTATTGGCATATAGGATTATACAGCTGATGTTCCACTAAACCCCAACGAACACCGGTCAACTGGGCATTGAATACCCTCAGCTTCCCCCATGTCCAGGGCAGCCGAGACACCTACACCAGCAGAATTCCTCCGACGGGCGCCTCTCTCAGAAGCCGACCCTCTTCGGCTGTGCCATACACCTGCAGAGTTCAGGTGCTCCAAAAAGGAAGTGTCAAAAAAAGAACCTTAAAACAGCCTTAGACCCTTCCCGATTTTCGCAGTGCCAGGTCATGTTGGCCCTATGCAACTACAATGCGTTGTTCCAAAATTATTCAACATCTCCCCCTCCTGACTCCTACCCTGCCACCTCCAGTTCTTGGATGCTGCAGCTACCCTTGCAGTAGATCCTCAGCCACTGTGCCCATTCCCCTTGCAGCTCCAGCCGCTGTGCTCCCAGGGAAGGCTCCAGGTTCACCAGTGCTGGGGACCAACTGACGGCACTCGGGCTGGTGGTCTCCAGATCAAAGCTGTTGGGCAAAAGGCTCCCCCAAATGATCACGACCTAAGGGTGGCAATGGGATGCAATGGGGGTTCAAGATTGAAATGCTCCAAGGTTGTGGATGGTTGGGGGTCAGATAGTCAGCATGGCTTCAAACCAGACAGTTTCAGTGCTGTGTCTACGCCCAGGTTGCTTCAAACATCGTGCATTCCTCCCTGACAATTTTGAGGAAACCATCCAAAATGTTGAAGCACAAGCTGGGCAACATGGTCCAACTGGTACTCAGCCAACAAATCCACCCAAATCCAGTGATCACCAGCAGCGGAACTCCACTGTGTGTTGGCAAGCCCATCCACTGCCATAGAGCCATACTTTCCAGGAAGGGTGGAAGATGTAACAACCGGTTTGTTCAAAGCCAAGTTCTCAGCCTGTGCCGCAGCTTTGATGAAGTTCAACGTCCCATTTGCATTTTGTCTGTGTGTGCGCATGCTGATTGTTAAACATCTAATTCCAGTCTATTCATGGGGATTGTGGATGTTTATAATTATATGTGTATGTATATATATATGTGCGTGTGTGTGTGTGCACATGATTGTACATGTGTGTGCATATATTGACTCACGATCACGTGCGTTTGTATACAACACTCTCATGTATGATAACAACACATCATAACACTAAAACTCATCTTAATCCTCATAATCCTCATCATCATCCTCCTCCTCATCAGCATCATAATTCATACGAAAACAATGCCTTTTGAAAGCAAGTGGCGCTGGACGGTGCAGCCCCAGGCTTCGCAGGCTGAGGCCAGTCAGGTTTAGCCACATCATAGACATAGAGCTCTTTGATGCAGCAGCTGGGTCCAGAAAAGGATTGGCAAACCTTGCTGATGGTGGCCAGAAACTGACAAGAAAGTGATGTTTGGTCTTTGGGGGATGGTCCAGACATGTCCAGACCCAACACGGCAAACCCCAAGAACCGCCAGTGTTATATAGTTATTTCACCACACCCTGCTGGCCGGAAGCTGTTTCCCAGCTGTTTCCCCGCTAAAAAATGAAATCTCAATCTCAACCATGGCGCGATGCGAATCCACTGCATGGGAATTGCTTCCAAAAAGCTGGTCCGCACCATCTGCCCAGCCACGCCCCCAGCCCTGGCCATCGGAGTCCAGTCCACCGCATTCTGACTGCTTTGCAGCTCGTATTTGGGAACATCTGCGCACCAAAGCACTTCCACCTCCAGCACCTGAGATTTCAGAGGCCCCAGAGCCAACTGCAAGCATCCCAATCAGAGGGACGTGACCAAAGGTAAAGTGATAACAAATCAACAAATCTGCACCCAGGATCGTTGCGCTTCCACAGGAAGTTTAAAACACAATCATTCATAAGGCTAAATCTAAAACTACCCCAACATACCTTTGAAATCCTTGGGCACTGCCAGCTTCTGCCATACTCAGCAACTGCACCCCCTTCATCTCTCCCAGGCACCTTGTAGACTTTTTGAAGGTCCACCCATGCCCAGGGCTTCAGGTCTCCTTCTGCTGAAGCCCAGGATGTGGTGATCAAGCCATCCGTCATGCGACTCACGTGCTGCGGCAACCTTTGGCTTGAAGCCAAGGCAGGACGAAGAAGTGCCAGGTTCACTCCTGATGTTGGAGAAAACGATGCTCAAATTTTGAAGAGATGCCCCTAGGATCCCCTAGGTAATGTAATGCCCCATCCCGCCCATCCCCATTAATTCGGAAGCCCATCAGCCGGCATCAATGTCCAACCCAAAAAAAAGGCGCGGGACAGGAAATTCAAGCAGAAAACATCCAAAAATCACTGGAAAGTCAGCTGAGAAGCTGCTGCCAGCAGCAGTGCCTGCGCCAGGTTCTTGGCCATGCACGGTGAGTTCTCGAATGCTGCAAGCTGTTGGACACACGACCTGGCCGTCTGTGGCGGGTTGTCTACATTATAGTTTATTTCTTTTTTCAAAGTAAGCAACCCAGTAAAGCAAAGCCTTGCGCAAGGACATCAAATTTTGAAAAAAATGAAAGGCCCCATGGCTTACCATACATTTCCACAAAATGATGCATGGCAAATTTGGGTTGTGCCGCTTGAAGATCTTGAAGGAACGTGGTGTATGAGCAGAGGCATGAAATAACCTACAAAGGAGGCATGTCTATTTGGGAAGGTCCCATCGCTGACCTCATGTTGGTGCAATTTCTGGAAAAACTGAAAAACAATGTCCGTCCCTTACATGCTTCTTATTGCCGGAGTTTTTGTGGTGGCTCAAGTATGATTGGCAATAAACTTGTTGAATTGTTCAGGGAACCCTGAATTCCCAATGGCCAATGGTCTAGTAGCGTGTATACCAAAACATCGCAAGCCTACCTCATGCACTTGCGAAGATGCATTGAGCCCTGCCCCATTTATGGAGAAGCAGGATTCAACCATATACTATACTTGAATATCTACATTATGTAATCTATAAGAAACCCCCCACGCCTTTTCAAATCCATCTCCAACCCCTGAAACTGGAACCACCAAACATCAACAACCCAAGCGCACCCTCAGCCACTGCATCGAGATCGGAGGGTTGAACCCGTGGCTGGCTCCGGCAGCACTGGCCACTGTTGTCCACGTGATGCCATCCGGAGCTGTCTGTAGCACCTGCTGTAACGCGAGCTGGTCATGAGGGCTTCCAGCACTTTGTGTTGGGATGTGTTGGGCAAAGGTTGCCTGTATAACTCATCCAGGTCTGAGAAAAGACCTTTGGATAATTAATCTGCAAGACTATCATCATTTGAGATCACAAGGTCCCTCAAGCCGGTGAATACTTGAATAATACTGAATAGTGAATAGTCTCAGTCTGGCTGTGGCTCAAACCAAGGTCATTCCCCCACAACAAAATTGGATTCCACACAGCCCGGAAATTCCAACGTCCTCAGCACCTGTTCCCTTCACCCCAGCAGCCCAAACAGCCCAGGCACAAAGTGCGAAGGAACCACATCCCCAAGGACCATTACCACATGATGCACTGCGTAGACTCCCAAAAGGTCGACCCACAGCCACTGCTCATCCGAGTCGTTCCCTGTGGCCCACTGGGTTTCCAGGTTTCCGTCCACCGCTTTGTAGGCGTGTTCCGCGGCAGAGCGGATGGAACTGGAGAGAACCGGCTTTTGGAAGGCCTTAGTCATGCGCCCGGGGGGGTTTGGGAGGGTTGTCGGGTGGAAGTTGGAGCTCCATTGGAACGTGGCAAGTGCCTTGACTTTCTGGCAATCTGCCCCTGGTGTTGGAAGAGTAGCCTCAACCCCCCTTTTGTTGTACCATTTCTTAGGATACATCATGACTACGTTGCTATGTCATTTAAAATCATCACCAAGGTACTAAGTTCGGCCCGTAGAAAGGAGTTGTACTCGACCCTGTAAAGCTTGTGGTTTCAGGTGTCACCGCTAGTGCAGTTGTTACAGGCACAGCGGTCGTCGTTGTGGTAGCGGTGGTGTCTTCAAACACCTGAACGACAACGGCAGACATGGCCACACATAGCATCCAATGTTTGATCTACACCACAGAATACCTGGCTGAAATGTTGGATCAATGTACTGATTGATTCTCATCCAAAGGATCTGCAGAGTTCGGTTTTACTGTCAGACTGACAAAACCCCCATTACTACCATCAAAAACTGCGGAAATGCTTTTGAAATTCACCAAAAAGACTCCAGTCAGACCACCCCGTGGCTGATTGATGTGGCACACTTACACATTAACTCCGATGCCTTACGATTAAGAATATAAAAGTGGGCCCCCTCTGGTAATCAAAGAAAATAGGCATAAAAAAACAACAACGTCTATTTACATCTACTTCCATATGTCAGACCCTCATTAACATCCGTTTTAAGTAATTATTATTTTATTATATATACAACTAGCTGTAATTATATGTGTTTTCTGTCTCTTCCCCTCTGTTTTTCCCCTTGGAAAACATGCCAATTTTCCAAATCGGTGAAGTCGGTCGCCTGCAGTTCCCATAGCCGCAGGTCGCCCCCACTTCGACTCAGCACCCGCAGCCAGCGCAGCCAGGTCCGCGGCATCTCCGAGCGGATCAGCTGAGAGGAGCCGTTGGCTACGGCCAGGCTGGTCCAGGGATCCTCCGATGCCACCCGGCCTCAGGGCTCAGAGCGGTGGATGTGGAAAACCCAAGCAGAAAAACCAGAAAATATCCGAAATGTGGAAGGTACATCTGGAAATCTAGCAGAATTGTGGGACAATTTTGAAGAAATTGGATATCAATTTTCTGATAAAATCATATAGGATCCAGATTTATAGAGGGCGCTGCATGGCTTGAAAACAACAAACTCAAGAAATAGTTTCACAAAATCACCCAGCCGTTGAGGAGAAAATATGATCCACCAGCAAAAGGGGGAAAAAAACATTTAAAAAAACTATGTCTCCCATCCTTTGCCCATCGGTGCCTTGGATGAAATAACGGCTGGGAGAAAATTCGCCCCAGAGCAGCACCACGTGCGACAGTGCCTTCACCTCTCCCAGGTCGACGGAAATCCAGGGCTCTTCGTCGTCGAGCGCCGGGCTCCAACGTGTCACAAAGAGGCCGTCCACCGCCCGCGCTGCGGCATGCTCCGCAGAGAGTTGGGAGGAGGCGAGCGCCAAGCGATATAGGGCCAGGTTCTCCTGGAAAGTTGGTGGTTTCAACGTGTTTCAACCCTATAAATATATATTTATATATACACCATATATATATATATATAAGACGCGTATTATATACCATCATTGTTTTAGCATGTTTTAATATCATATATATATATATCATTCCAACATCTGATACCAACCCAATACCAAAGCACATTGCTCGATTACTTGCTTCGAATCATCCCAGGCACATACAATGGGATGAAAAACAATGGAAAACCATCCCAAAAAAATATTGGCAGGACGGAGGAAAAGTCATTCAAATCACCTATCTATCCTCCCGCTGACATCAGTCTGTCACGAATGGACCCTTTCCTTTGTCCAAGAAAATAGTGGGACATCGCAATCGGGATTAGTCGCTGGATTTAGGGCAGCAAATGTTGGAGAGGTCTGCAGCTTTGGGGATATCCTACCATCATCTCACATCTTCAGGACATGACTATGCCCAAAAATGCCAAACCACTTGCTCTCAACTACTGGGGTATAGCTGGTAAAAGTTGAGGTGTCTCAGACAGTGAATGTCTGGTGGCTGTTACCATCCTTGAAATTG